ATTTAAAAAATCTAAAATCTAAATCTTAGTTTTTAAGTTGGTTTAGTGTTTCTTTTAGGATGAGTTGTGAAGTATTGATGTTCTTAAAATTGTGAAATTACTAATATCTAAACATTTTACTAGTACCTTAATAATTCTGATGATTTCACTTTTGTTAATAATAATAAAAAAAAAACACTTAAGATAAATCCCTAGGGGCTCCATGAATATTTAAAAAAAACTTTTATTTTTTCAGATAAGAAGCTGTTTACTCATACTTTAATAATTCAATTTTTTAAAAAATGTTGAGAGAATTTAAGATGTGTCTGTTAAGTTCATAACTTTCAAGTATTCCGATAATTCTTTCTCTCAAAATCAAATCATGCCATATTATATGACAAGATTGTCCGCGATATTGTCTGAATCCATTTTGGCATACAATTAGTAGATTATCTTTTTCAAGAAACCATCTAAGATGTTAATAATAAATTTTTTCTATTAGTTTACACAAGTAACATGTTAATGTTACGTCACGACATTATTCTCAGCATTGTGTCCATTTGAGAACAGCTTTGAGAATTTTCATTCTCCGAGAGAGACCGAAATACTCTCCGAGAGCTTATTATTCGATAGAACTCTCAAAACCGTGTCCATTCGAGAGTTCATTGTCCCTGATCCTATTCAGTGTAGTTTAATTCGGAACATTAGTGTGAACAGTGACATCGTTATCATGGAGGTGCAAAAAATATGTGCCTTCATAGTTGCCTATAATATTTTAAGAAAAAAGAAAAATCAACATAATAAGAAGAGTTCACTAATTTAAATTATAGTATAATATTTAATATAATATTATAATATACTTATAATATACTTAATTTAATATTATAATATAATATTTGTATATAATATTTAAATTATTACATAATAGTTATATTATATAATTTAATTTAAATTGTTATATAATGATTATATTATATAATTAAATATTATATAATATTTAAATTAATAATTAATTATAAAATAATTTAATTATAATATACTTAATTTAATATAATATTATAATATAATATTTAAATTATATAATTATTTAATTATAGATAATTATAGATAATTATATAATTATATTATAATAATTATATTATATAACATTTAAATTGTTATATAATGATTATATTATATAATTAAATATTAATTATATTATATAATTAAATATTATATAATATAATTATTATATAATAATTTAAATTAAAAGAAATTAGTTAAATAATTTCACTTTTTGACCACACTTTTTTATTATTCATTACTCTGCTCGCACGAAAGTACTCTCAGGACTTCAAAACCGCTTCGAATTCTGAGAGCAACTCTCCGAGAGTAGTATAATATTGTGTCCATTTGCGAGCAGATCGCGACATGTCGACTCTCAAACAATTGAACGATGCTCTCGGACAATAACTTTCAGAACAGTATTCATTTGCGAAAAATATAATACTCTCGAGAGCAACTCGCGACAGTTTTACTCTCCAGTGGACACCTAGCTTAGCATTTTCGGTATCTATCATGTCATGATACATGTACCGCGATACTAATACTAATAACCGATACTAATAACATACACGATTGTTATGGATACACAATTATAGGCGGAATTCATTGTACCGATAGATTTTTTTGCGAATATCTTAGAAAATAAGGCAAATCGCTAATTATACAAAGGAAAAAATTGTTCAAAATGTCGATATCTACAATATATCTAAAATTCATTGAAATTGGAAAGGACAGTTTCACCACCAGCAATATCTTTGGAGAATAAAAACGTAGAAATTCTGTTGTTTGAAATTCTTTATGAAAAATGAATTAGTCAGATTCATCAAGCCACCAATTGTTTGAATGTAATTTAATTCCACCTTTAACTTCTACCTGCTCTTATTGTTGGAAAACATAAGCATAATTAATTTTATTGGAACTTGCAGATATGAAACATTGGGTTAGGTACCAGTGATGAAGAATGAACTTCAGTTCTCAAAGACTATTCTGATATAATATTCTACTATAATAAAAACTAAATGAATCAATAAACAAATATAGATATTATATTATTAGTTCTCAAAGACTATTCTGATAATCTACTATAATATAATATTTAGTAATATAGATGTTATATTATTAGTATAACTACTATAGTCTATAAAGACTATTCTATTATAATAAAAACTAAATGAATCAATAAACAAATATAGATATTATATTATTAGTTCTCAAAGACTATTCTGATATAATATTCTACTATAATAAAAACTAAATAAATCAATAAATAAACAAATATAGATATTATATTATTAGTTTTACACAAAACAAAACAACCGACACGGACGAAAAGGAATGAAAACGTATTGTGTATTGCATATTATAGATGCAACTGCAGAATCACTCGCAGTCAGTGTATATATCTCTTTGTCGGTGTAAAACTTCCTTGAATAAAACATGGTTGTAATATATTATGTCCTATCTATCGAAATTATCCACAAAATTTTGGGGAGGGTGGAGAAAAAGCAGAAATTTCGAGCATATAATATTAGCTACGGATCTTTATTAGTTTCTGTAATATTAATTTCTTGTCTTATAATTTTCTTTCCAATATTCTTAAGGAAGCATTATTGTAATTGTAATATCATTTCAGATATATAAAACATAGAAATGTTATTTATAATTTACACTTATTAATGTTCGATTTAAAGAAATGAAACTATGAATTAAAATTTCACAGAATTGCAATTTGCTTTTTCAGAAACTATCGAAACTAGAGTCCATTAGACAAAGGACTAATAAAGAACTTTGGGCACAATGCATTGAATTATACAGACATCACTAATATAATGGTCAATGCTATATTAGCTACCGTTGGTGAGTGTTGAGAAATAATAGCAGAGAAATATTTCATAATGTACATAATACATATATAATATAATAATAGTAATATTTCATAATATACATAGTTTACATAATAGCATCAGCTTTAGTGTGTTTCTTAAAATCTAACATTAACTTTCAATATAACATTTAACAATATAATATTGAATTGTCAACACAGAAGTTACTAACTGTTTTCGCTATAGTAGACGTCAAAGTTGCATTGACTTATTCTTGTTAATTCGGTCGCCTCGAGTCTAAAATCCGTCGATATTGGAACATCCTATAGATATCGAGGAATATTCTGCTGTCGACTATTTGACAGCCGACAGCGACTAGTATAGTAATAACGATACAGTAAACACGATTTGTATTAGTAATGTTTGTAGATGTGGAATTCAATGTATTGTATCCAAAGTTTTTTATTAATATCTCAAAAATTGATAAAGCAGCTAAAATTTTATACTCAGAGTTTTTTTCCTCTCTTCGATCTCGAAAATTTTATTCTGATGAATAGGTCATGCCGTGTTATATGTCAAAATACACGGAAAATTACGCAAATGACAACAATTGTAGAACATAAAAGAAGATTGCAAATATTATTAAAAAAATTAATAAATAAACACATAATATACACAATCCCTGTTATTACTAATGTTGTTATAGATAAATTCGATAACTTTACGAGTATTATTCGAATTATTTTAATTAAGATATCTCTTAAACTAATAATTTTTCGATATAAATTAGTTCTTAAACTAATGATATTTCGATATGATTTTCGATATAAAAATTAAGATATCTCTTAAACTAATGATTTTTCGATATAAATTATAAAAGATTTTATAATTTTTTATAGAAAGCGATGAATTGATATTTAATATATTAAAAACTATGCGATTTCACTTAAAAAAACAAACTTGATCTTCAAACGTCTTCTATCAACATCATAAAAAATGATATTATATCAATTAATGCTTCTTTCGAAACCATTCAACTTTTGTCTAAAACATCTTTTGATACAATCAATCGTTCTGAAAATATTTCAACTTTTAATCTTGGATGACTCACTTGGTATACTATGTATTATAACTTGGAAACCAAAAAATCAATGTTGCTACTTTGAAAATCAATAGGATAATCAATTAGACAATAATAAAAAAAAGTATTAAATCAATAATCACCGAGATTTTCATAGATACGTGGTATCTATCAGAAAATACGAAAATGTTCTAAACCATACTGATCGTTCTTATCAAATCAGATCAGTATATATATTTATATAACGTAGCTATCAAAATTGCACTAGTTCTATGCAATTTAATAGAATCTCGCTTAATTCCCAAAATATAATAATAAGTGGGATCGCATTCGGAGAGCGACAGAAGATCAATATTCGTGCGTACCGTTATACGTAATCGATGTCACAAACGTGATAAATTATACGGTTGAAATGACGACGCAGCTACATATTACTTGCAATATACCGCCGATGGAATTGATCTTGTTAATTGTCTCTACTGGTAATTCGATTTCAACTTTCGTATAATAAAGCGTTCCAATTTAATTTAGGTACTTTATAAAAGAAAAGTAATTGTTTTTGTTTAAAACAAATAGAAGATAACACTTATATTAAATATATAATCTATTAAATATATATATATTTATATATTAAATATATAAATATCTCATATAATTCTTCTATAATTCTTATATAATTCTATAAAATTTTATATAATTATAATAATATTTCTATGTAATAAAATTTTATATTATTATAATAATATTTTATACGATATAATTTTATATAATATTTTATATAATAAAATTTTATATCGTTATAATAATATTATATATAATAAAATTTTATAATATTTTATATAATAAAGTTTTATAAATATAATTATAATAATAGTATTTTTATAATAATAATAAATACTTTCTCACATAATTTCTATACTTTGTTACAAAATTAGACTCGAGTACCGAATTTAGTTAAAAAGAGTAGGCATGTTATTGAAAAGAATACGATGACGAATCAAAATTATCTCTATCGTTTACATCTCTATTTTGTAGTTTAGACATATTTCAATGTGATAAGAATATCTACTTACCGATGCAAAAATAGTGACGAGATATCGTTGCGTTCTTTCGAAGTCCAAGGTACGGTTAACAGTGACTTGACCTTGGTGAGGTAAGTTAATGCTGAAATAACCGTATCCATCAGCCGTCGTGATTCTGTTTCGACCAACTCCATCATTGTTGCCAATGCCAGTTCCATCACCAGGAGCGATCGAGTATTCCACGATGCCGTTTACACCGGCGTCCGCATCCATAGCCACCACATTTTTGAAAATGGTCGAGCCAACTGGTGTTAACTGTGACAAAACCGTACAAAACTCAACAAGAATTTAAGCGTAAATAACATAGCCACGAGTGTAACACTTTCGTGGTAGTTATGTAATTAATTTGCCGGTTGCGAGGAGAATGTATCGTGATACGAATTTACGTGTGAGAAAATATCTCTGAGCGCTAAACTTAAGATAGATTTTTAATTACCATGATCGATTAATACAGCCAAGAACTACCTCAAGCACTTTCCGTCAAATATCTCGGATTACATCTAGACAACAAACTGAATTGGAAAAAGCACATTCAAGAAAAGATCAAACAAATAAAAATAATTAGAAAATCCATGTACTGGCTAACATCAAGAAACTCTAAGCTAAGCGTAAAAAATAAGCTACTAATCTACAAAATTATAATTAAACCTATTTGGGCATACGGGCTACAAATCTGTGGCATGGCAGCCAAGTCGAACATAAAAAAGATAGAAAATCTACAATCCATCATCCTACGTACAATACTAGACGCTCAATGGTATGTCAGAAACACAGATGACATAAGAAAAACCCTAGGAATACCAATCATCAAAGAGGAAATACTAAAGCGCGCAAGGACACATCAACACAAAATCAAAAATTACAGGAACCACCTGGCAAAAGACTGTTACTTCCTACTACCCAGAAGACTGAAACGGAAACACTCGCTAGACCTTACTAACTAACAAATGGAATACAGCCAAACATGTTTAAAACGGAACTAATCCCATAAAAAAACCTAGTGATTGCCGATAACTGTATCGAAATCCACGCGATCTCAATGATTGTATAAACAATAATTGTATAAAAAATGAAAATAATTGTAACAATTAGACTCATACAGAACGAATAAAAAAAAAAAAAGATCGATTATCAACCGGGAATAACCCAGTTCCTTCGTAATCACTTCAATGAGAACTGATCGCCTATTCGAACTTGCAATAGGTTAATTAGTTTAAACTTTAAACGAAGATCGTGAGCGAGATATTCCACGATTTCGATCGAGAGAATTTCTGCAATTCTGCAACTGCGGCAGATGGGTTGTGTGAAATTGAATGTGCTTTATTTTTACGATCACGCAATACTGATACAAAAGGGCTATTGATTAATCATTCTGAAAATATTCACCTTTTTGTTCGTTTCTAATTGTATGTCTGATATATCTATGCCTGAATGAAAGAAATCGACAGAAACGATTAAAATATCTTTGTTGTGAAAAGGAAAGCAGAAAATAGAATGTAATGGCTTAATTGATACTTATATGTGGCGCATGCCTTTAGAAGAACATTTGGAGATTCGCGTTTCTTATTTGAAATAATGCAGATAATTAGTTTTGATTATTCGATAATTTCCTTGTGGTATGGCGCAAGAAGTATGATAATTAAATCGTAAAATTATATTATTCGATATTAAATTTTATTAAAAATCTATCTATACCTAAACTTTGAAATTGCAGCCGAGTTCTAGACATTTATCCTATCTGATATTTACGCCCTATGTACAAGTCGCATCGTTTTTAAAAAATGGGATGAAAAAAAAATTATTTTGTAAATTAAAAATTCGAGTCTAATAGATGTAAGTTTATTAGAGTCTAAAACATATAACGTTTTCTTTGTTCGACTATTTATAATTGAAAATATTTAAATAATTGGAAATTATTTTTTCAATAATCATTTTTCTCTTCCACCAGAATGAATATGTTGGAAATTGTTTGAAAAACTAAAAATATGATTTTAAAGTATTACAATAATCAATGAATTATTCAAGTGATAAATGCAAATTGTAATACAGCTTATGATATGAATATTAGTACATCAATTCTTTGGAATGTATTGAAATGAATTTTTTTTTATTGAATATAATTTAATACTCATTGCAAAATCTAAAACTGGTTGCTAAAAGTAACAGCTTCTTGCTTAATTTCTATAGTTAAGCCGAAAGTTATAAACAAAGTTATGGCCGGTGCGGCCAGAATGGTTTGTGACCATTTGGTATGTTTAAAAAATTCGAGGACACCGCGACTGATATTTTAGGATTTGAAATTTGGGAACTCAGTTATGTACTCATCAAATTGCATTGTTGTGATGAACTTCAACGATATATTACGTCTACGGACAGTCTCTAGTCTAAATCTTTTATTTATTTTTATACTATAATTATATTATATCATATTATTATTATTATTATTATACATTATTATGTCTGATTATATAAATATATTGTATTATATACTATAATTATACATACATACTTATAATTATATTTAGTTACAGTATGTATTATTTACATGTATTATTATATTACTTACTTATATTTACTTGGTTATTATACTGTTTACTTATATATTATTCGTTTAAATCCGATTTACATAGATTAAGACATAGATATTTAATTCTATTATTTGCCGATAAAAAGTAAATTTTTAAGTAATTCTGATTTTTGCCCCACTTTTCAAATTAATTGGCTACTGTACGATGGACGAGGCTCGTAATTATAAAAGCATTTAGATACATGTCTTGCAGTTCTACAGTGCATCGACGATAAATTAATAGAAATGCAAGACTTTGTTCAATAGAAACGATGGTAATACTAGTAATAAATAATTCATTGGATTCAGTTGTAAAACATCATTACCTACTCAATTCTATGTTCAAATTTTTCAACGTTCGAACGTCGCAACTTCTCGACTATTGTAATTTGTCACAGTGATAATAAACACACAAACACATCGCCAAATATATTCATTATTCCCGCTATGAATCGACTTTAATGAGTAGTAGTTAACAAACTTTACAAACGAGAATTATTCCCAATTATTTATTGGTCACGATTGAACGAGCGAGTAGACCTGTATCTTTTTGCACGCTAACGCTACCATTTATTGCGACAACAATAATTACCCGTGTAACATTCCACGCGTACCACTTAACGGCCGAACGAGCGAGTGGACAGTTTCAGAGTACCGTTAACGCGTTAGTGATACCCCTCTACGAATGTACATAGCCCGATAACACGTTCGTCCGCCAACGTAAAATGCAAGTTCATTAAAATAAGTATTAACATGGAATCGAAGGGAGAGCTAACGCATACTGGTGCGTGCCATTACACGGCATGCAGCGGCTGGATCAACCGGTATTCGCAAGATGCGCGCCATTTCTATTATAACGGTCCGTCCAGCGTGGAAAAGAAGAGGAATTCGCGCCACGAAGATTCTGCCAATATTCCTTCGTTTTCTCTTTGACACGGCCCGTAATGATATTTCCTGCGGCTGGTACAGAGCTATCCTTGACGACACCGCCCTGTCACTCCACCTTCTAAATTATTATCAGATTAATCCGGCCGCGAGACCGATCCTTCGAATAATCAGCGCAATATTGGATGACTCGTCGAAAACTTGGACTCGCTTAATTGGTTCGTGCAGTTCGCTGCCGCGAATCGGCACATCCAACTTTGAGATCTAGTTGAATCTGAGACCTGGTCGGATCTAGTTTCCGTGCTCTTTGGCCGATCATTTCGAAATCACGTCGTTCCCGTTCTCGCGAACTTCGCCACCGGCTTCTCCAACTTTATTTAATTTAACGTTTCAATTCCCTAGACAATGGAATTTAGAGTTCTTTTCTATCACTGATCAAATATCCTACCTTTTCTAAACCTTTGAAGAATTGAATCTAGAAGAATTAGAAAATAAATTATCTAGTAGATATATACCTAACAAAACTTACGTAATTAAAAATTACCTAATTAGTATAAAATTTAAGTATTAATTAATAGTATATACTAATTTAGTATAAAATTTAAGTAATTAAAATGTAATTATTCGATTCTGTTTATACATAATCACAATACCACTTGCTCTTGCAAATTATTCTTTTTACACAATTTTAACGTTTATTATCGTGACCTATTGTTATGTACGTGTCATAATACGCCGATTTGTAGCTAGCGTTTAATTTAATTGGTAATACTTGTATCTTAATGAAATCTCTTCTACGTGTGATTTATATCCGTAGTATTTTTAATTTTGACGGAAATTCCATCACGTAGCAGCTGAGACACTTGGAATTTTAATATGATCGAACCATCCACGTTCATACGTAAACATCTCAGAACGTGTCATAATTTTTAGTTATTATATCCTTTTTTTTTTTTTTGCTATCGGCAGTGAATTGATGATTCGTTATTTCTCATCTAATGTCGAATTTTTAGGACGGTCTAATTAAAGAAAGTGTGTTTTTATTGCATTACATTCTTCCCAATAACAATCGATCAAATCATTCGGTATATTCACCAATAATTCGATTACCATTATGATCAATTTTTATCTGACTCAATGTCAATAATTCTGAATTTTCTTAACATTATCTAATTAATCAGGAAGTAAATTCAAACGTTACGCGTATCAAGTTTAAGGTCCGAAGCAAACGGTTTGCTGCAAATTCGCAAAACTTTATTTTCTTTGTTATATTTCTTGCTGATTTACAGAATTTAGATATAAATTTCTTCCATTTTATGCCAACTTACCTCTGGCACCGTAGTTTCGTACGGCGTATTGACGAACTTCGGCGTATTATCATTAATATCCGAGACTCGCACAATCACCGGTATAGTTCGTTTCTTATTTGTTTGCTTTACCGTGCAGCTTAACTGAAAAGAAGACAAAAATTATTAAATACATATACATATAATATGTACGTTTATATAAATATAAATTTTATATAAATAAATATTATAAATATAAATATATTATAATTATAAATTTTATACTTCTAAAATATTTAAAATACTTCTAAAGTTTACTATTAAATAAATTTTACTATTAATTAAATTTATTATCAATGACAAAATAACATTTTAAAAAATGCAAATATTTGAATATACACAACATTTTCAAAACTTTTTTTCTTAGTCAAGGTCATTTTGATTTTTTAAAATGACACTATGTATGTATTTTGATTTTATAGTGTTACAGCTAACATAAAGTCGAATTCAACGATTTACTGTACCATGATGTTGAAATGTAATAAATCAAGGAAAACATTATAGCAAAATTTCAACAATATGTGAAGCATAGAACAAATAATGTTAAAGTCTATGATGATTGTTGATTTACTCGATATTTTTACATTTTACAAGATCATTTTTATATCATGGTATGGTAACTCGTTGAATTCGTCTTCTAAATTAAAAATATAATTTCATTTAAAAGAAATCAAAAGTGATTCTGACCTTTCGCTGAAGAAAATCTTTTCTGAAAATTGTATGTATTGTAACACGTAATCGATTGAGAGATGAGTAACTTTTATTTGAAACATTTCTTTTGTCAAACTATCAGAAGTGACGATAGGACAGATATAATCAAAATGATTAACAATTTTTGAAGTGTACTAATTACATATAACATATTAATTAGTCAACAACACGTATTTGATAGAGAAATAGAGAGGGGATGAGAGAAACTGATAATTTTATTTAGTTAATATTTTAATTTTATCTGGATCTTCCTGGACTTCCTTTATCTGGAAGTTCATGTACATTGAAATATAATTTCATATTTTAAATTCATGAGTACAGATTTGGAATGCATTTGAAAATTTTATAAAATTATATATTATTTATCAATTAATTAAGCTTTTTTAATAGAACGAATTTAAGTTAAAAAGACTGACATACAAAATACGAGTAACACTTGTACAACAAAGTGTGGTGTAACAGCTAAATACACATCACAAATTAATGGTAATTGGTACTAGCGTTAGAATTTTATGTATTTTATCACATTAATCGTAATTAATTATATGCATATGCATTTCTTCATTGTGACAAGTGTGAAGAGTTGGATAGTAATCAATTATTTTGCAATTATTTCTCTAATCAATTACTAAATAGCAATCATAGTAATCGTAATCATTAACCAATTAATCATTGTCAAAATAAATAAGTAATCTTGATTAATTCTCGTAATTTACAATCATTAATTAATAATATTTAGATCATTAATGACTAATGATTCAAATATATTTTAATATGATGATTAATTTATATTTCATCACAATCTGTAATGTGTTATTTGTTTACATTGTTACAACATGTTCAGAACGTAATATTAATCATGTAAGGTTGTTACACTGTTTGCAATTTGAGTAGTTGACCCATTAGTCTAGATCAAAATTAGCGTATTCTTTGCTGCATAATAGTATTATTGAATTTAGAATAATTTGTCAATGTTTATAATTCTATGATATATTTTTGGCATAGAATATATGAATGAATGAGTGTGTATCATGTATAAAGAATCTCAAAATTTTGATCATTTGGCAAGTTAAGTTTCATTCTTCATCAAATCATACAAAGTATGATTGTACCAATAACGATTCAAGAATAATATAGAAGAGACTTTCAATCATAATCAAAAGTGTAATCATTTTATGATTAATGATTCTGATTACTCGCTTTATTCATTAATCGGCGATTAGTGATTATTTGATAATTAGCAATCACGATTAATATTCTGATTCCACGATAATTATAACTGTTAATCGTTAAATTACGTTTTGCACAATTTTAGCCGTGGACAGTTGAGATATTAGGTGGAGCTCCACTTCTCGATAAATGGATTTACGAAAAAATTTTGACCGATATAAACGCACGTGATATTTCGTAATGTACCTGCTGTAGTCTAAGTAATTGTAAGAAATCCACACGAGAGTATTATTGCAGTGATCTAACTTAATTACGATAATTGCCGTACAAGACTGTTGGCATTCGAATCAATTTTCCCTTCTCTGCCGCTTACCAAACAAAGGCAAAGCGTATGCGAGATTTCCCAGCAATTGGATTTTATGGGGTCAATTTGCGAAAATAGCAAGTACGAGCAATCTCTTACGATACCAGAACGCTGTTCTATAGACCATTCACATTCTTTCCAACTGCAATGTCATAAGAGACAACGTGTATTCGCGAATGCTGATACGGCCACTGTACACCATGTATTACCGTAATTACAACCAACCAACAATTTCATTCGAAATTCAATGCTAGTCTGATTTTCTTCTCGATGTTTCCCTAAAAGTACCGGGTGTTTCATTTCAAGCGATCCACACAATTATCTCCTCCTAAACTATTCGTTATAGAAAAACATGTTTCAAATAGAGCTTACTTTCAAAGGACATCTTACGATGGTCACAAATTTTATCTAAATTGTGAGTGCTTCTGAGATTTCAAGATGACTCATTTTTTGAAACAGAACTATGTATTTTTATTCGGATGAACGTGTAGCCCATTCCATAATGAATTCGCTGATCTAAATTTATTGGTGTTCCAAGTTCATTCAAAATTATTCTACTGCCATTCTTGTCTTCATTAAACGTTCAGAAATGACTTCTTATCTTCGACTTTTGAAACGATGATCTTGAACTGATTTAAAATGCATTAAAGTGTATTGATATAGTCTATCGGTAATTTCACACGAGTCGAATGCCGATGATTAGAAAATCTTTGAAATTTAGGCAACATAAACGTGCAACGATCCAGTAATTCCCTTGACGTTCTCTCAAACCCTAAATCATATCGATTGTTTCGTTGGATATATAATGAACCAAGGTAAATTAAATTGATACCGAAGCTAAAGCATGAAAGGGGTAGCTTGTCTATCGCTATTATTAGCTGATGCTGACGTCAAATATTCGTTTGATAACAAATGCTAATTTTAGGAACGTATTTGTATCAGTTCATCAGTCAAATCAACCAAATACAGTCTATATCATTATTTATTCAATATTTTTGCCTAATTCACAATTGTTGCATTATATTTGCATTTCTTATATTCTAATTCATTATTGTTGCATTTTTGTCATACTAATTTTGTGTTATATTTGTGTTAAGGCTAACGGTATGTATAACGTGCTCCAGACTCAGTATGTCAAATTAGGAATTTTTAGAAATTTTCTTGTATCTCTCAATCAACTAAATACAGTCTATATCATTATTTATTCAATATTCTTGCCAAACTCACAATTGTTGCATTATATTTGCATTTCTTATATTCTAATTCATTATTGTTGCATTTTTGTCATACTAATTTTGTGTTATATTTGTGTTAAGGCTAACGGTATGTATAACGTGCTCCAGACTCAGTATGTCAAATTAGGAATTTTTAGAAATTTTCTTGTATCTCTCAATCAACTAAATACAGTCTATATCATTATTTATTCAATATTCTTGCCTAACTCACAATTGTTGCATTATATTTGCATTTCTTATATTCTAATTCATTATTGTTGTATTTTTGTCATAGTAATTTTGTGTTATATTTGTGTTAAGGCTAACGGTATGTATGACGTGCTTCAGACTCAGTATGTCAAATTAGGAATTTTTGAGAAATTTTCTTGTATCTCTCATTGTCAGATATGAACCACTTAAAGAATTTCCAACTAGGCAGTCCTATAAATCTCAGTTTCAAGTGCAAAGAATTTTTTTGCACAATAGCAATTATCATGTCACAAACACGTGTATGAAAAACTTATTTCTTGCAAGTTGAATACAGTTACTGAAGAAAATTGGAAATATTGTGTTCAACGTATTATTAAAGTTAAAAATAAAATTAAAATTAAAATAAAGTTAAAAATAAATTTTGGGAATTAAATCATACTGTTGAACGAAATATTGATCCTATGATTACAAATGTAACCAATAATAGCGATAGTAGTTGGGAATCACGAATAGCAATATATTAATTATTTAGATCGTAAAATATTGCTTTTCAATATATAAAAATTACGCCTAAAAGCTACACATGCACTTGTTTACATCTGGTGCCTCGATTCGTAACGAATTATAGTAGGAAATATCCTCTCTTGAAATAGAAAGTAACAAGAATTTATATTAGTGTAATTTCGAGTCACGTTTATAACCAAATATTCATTCTGATACATTCATTGAAAATAAATTTTGATTAGGTTGGAACGGACTACGCACGAATATATATTTTCACTTAAAAAAAGAAAAATCATCCTAAAATCTTGGAGATTCGCCTAGATTTTATAACCATCATAAAATTTCTTTTTTTAAACAAAGTGAATTTCATTTGAAACATTTTAGAAGATAATTGCGTGGATCGCTTCAAATGTACATAAACTACACTGTACATAAACATTTCACATTCCTCTAAAATTATATTATCATTCTAAAGAAACGTTTCGCTTTCAGTATCGCGTCTCGTCATGGTGAAACGAAAGATACTCGAGTTCAATTGCAAAACTATACGTAATTAATAAAAGGAAACGGTCAGGCAACCATTTCAAACGTCAACGAAACAACGAGTAACCGATGAAGACGAAGCTGAGTGAAATTGAATCGGCGGAAGGATCGTCCCTTCCGGTTTTACTGCAGCTGGTAAGTTCATTTGCCGCGAAGAGGGAAAAAATTCCGGGTACAAGTAACGAGATTCCTTTTCCAAGAATGAAAGAGTGGTTCTTAGATCTTGCAGAAAATACAACAAGACGGTACCAAGTGTAGAAATCGATCGCAGCCACGGACCGGACCGCTCATCGGCTTGTTTCCGGGCAAAAACCTTTCCAAACAACCGCGTCTTTCGAAACCAGAATTGTAATTTTTCGCCCGATTAGGATCTTCATTTTATTTACCACAACGAGGATGTTTTCACGAAAGTTATCGATCGATGAGCAATCGTATATCCGATCGTAGTCATTAGCGATTATCAAATTAAAAAGTTCGCGTTTTTAAGTGATTCATTTGACCGAAATGTCGAAATATTAACTTCTTGTGCTGGAATGACGTGTCACGGACGTCGAGAATTTTTTGTCCCAAAATTGCAACATTTTCTCAGTTTTAAGGCAAAACAAATGATAAGTTTAATTATTACTTCTTAATAATTTCTATCCAGTGATATCATACCGACGAGTTCAAAAAGAAAGCGACAAATTATTGTATATGTTTCGGTCACTCGTTATGGTCCGCAGTTGCCAGCAAGGCAGTTAACAGAATAACAGCGAAGATAATAGCTCGTCCTAACGTTGATTATGATTTTTCATAGCTCAAGATAACTCGTTAATTCGATAGGAATAATTATGCTTGAAAATAAGTAATTTTTTGAGATCTATAACTATATTAAAACGTCCAAATGAATATTTCGGATTCTTTAAAAATAACTCCTAATGTCTTTTCTTATTTCACAACTGACAAGACTAGAAGATTAGAGTAACAGGCAAAATGAAGAACAATCCTTTCATTCGAGCAATGAGTTTAATATCATTTGTAGTTCGCAGAAAACGAACGATCCTCGCATCGAACTTGTAATCTTTCCACGCACGCGGCCAATACATTTGAAAAGCACGTAGATACACAGATAATGATACTTGATACGTGGGTCGCGTCGCGTCGGCACAAGTTACACACTCGAAACGAATTGGATAGAAATACATTGTACGTGGCTTTCTCGAAATAAATACCGTGCACCAATACAACTACACCGTGACATAACGCAAAGTGTAGATAATAGATTCGACAAATTTCGTTTTACGCGAGTGCGTTAAACAAAAGGTGCTGCGACTCATCTAAATTTCCTGTTGCAAAATCGTTTTTATTTAAATATTTTTGTCTTACCTGAAAAACAACATGCGAGAGATTTTCATCGTCCCTATCCAGAGGCTCCAACAGCTGCAGTTTCTTGCCATTCAGTTTAAAACGAGGCTGTCTTCCAGGAAAGATCAGTTCCAGCGTAGTCTCGTTGTACGGATCGCCAGATACTGGAAGTTCCTCCGGCACGGTCTTCTGATCGATCGCTGAAAAATAGGAATCCTCTGAACCACCATACTGCTACGACGATCTCAACATGCAAACCGATTTTTGTAGCAGGTGTGACGTGTTCGCGCGATCGATTCCACATCTATACAAGTCTCTCTAATGCCTTTTTTTCCCATTTGTGTAGAACTATGTAAGTAATTTCTAATTCATTTATCTTTTATGGCTCTCTTGCGAAAAGCCATAAGATGAGCAAACAAAATCTACATAATACTGTAAAATATCAATGATATCTTTTAACAATTAGAATTCATTAGACTCTTATGTACTGTACACCGCTATAGTTTTCGTGCATGAATTTATTTTGAACAGTGACTCACTCAGTCTTTAGAAGTATGTAAATTATGCACTTCTTCATTTCGTTTCCAATTTTTTTTTTCGTTTCACTTTTTTTTTTCGCTCACGCAATATTTTGTAACAATATCAGTGTTATTGTTAAAAAGTACTCGTACCGACGCAACATAGTGATGAAACTGACACACTAGTGTATCAAAACGCGCTAAATAAAAATATAAGTGGTAGAAAACATTTAAGAAGATTGTAAAAAAAGAATACTGAGTTCGTCAGAATCGGAAGATTTTGATAGTCACGTAAAAACGACATGCGAGAATATAGTCTGTGGTCACGTCAAAATTTAAAGCTACAAATATATAAATTTAATTCGAACAATTCTGAAGTGAAAATACAAATTAATCAATCTGCTATTCCGTTAGATTACTTTGATCTATTTTCTTTTTTTTTTTTTTTTCTAAAGAATTAGTATCATTTGTCGTGAAAAAAATAAATCACTATCGTGAACATAAAATGGATAGTTCCATGCATTCTTTTGCAAAACTTCACGAAAGCAACTCTGAGTATCATTTATTTACAATTATTACTAATGTCGTTAGCAAGAAAATTAGATTATTCCGAATATTGTACAAAAGATAAATTTTTGTGTACTAATATTTTTAATTATGAATACAGATAAATATGTTTTTTAATATTTTAATTTATTTTAATGAGATTACAGCAACTAATTCTAGTACGTTGGTAGAAATAAAAGAATTCTGCGGAAATACTTCGTCTTTCATTTCAAAATTATTTTAACCCATTCAATAACTTAGGCGTAGATGAAAGTTTATTATTATATAAAGGGAGACGTCCATTCAAACGAAATAGATTTGACATTAAATATTTTGTACTGTGCGACTGCAAAAATGGATGTGTACTAAATTTTATTATACATTATATTGGCAATCATTCAGAAATAAATGAAAAAAAAAAAAATCTCTCAGAGAATCAGCTGAAATTGAAATCGCATTATTGGAATCATAATCTTAGAGAAAAGATACATTTTATTCGTTAATAATTGATACATTAATTCGACTTTATTCACTTATCTTCACGACAATACAACAAACGCATGCGGTATTGTAAAAGACAACAAAAGAGCATGCCTATCACGAGTGAAAAATTAAATGAAGATGAAATATATTTTCGATTTGTGTCTAATATGAGAGAAACCGTGAATTTTGTAAATACATAAAAAATAAATTACCGAACGAAATAAGTTATCGAAAAACCTTTTTGCATGGTAAATTATACTGCAAATACAAGTGTGGAATATAATAGAGACAGAGTGACAATTAGCCTAGAATCTGTCAAAAAAAAAAGAGATCAAGTGGTATAAAAAATATATTTTCCATCCATTTGATGTGGTCATTTAAAATGCGTATTGTTTGTATAAAATGAATAGAAATGGAAAAATGAAAATGCGCGCATTTCACCTTCGACTAATTAAAGAAATCGTAAAAACAAAACATGGCGACATAAATAATAATTTCAGTAATCGTCAAAAATCTACTGCTGACTATCCTTTCAGATAAACTGAAAGACATTTTTCGTCTTTTTTGTGAAACTATAAATACAAAAAGAAGACGTTATGAAATTATGTTGTGTACGCAAAAAATGGTGCAAGGCAAATATTATGCTGCTAATGTCAAAATTGTGACGTGGAATTCTGTGTCGTATATTGTTTCAAAGTATCGTACAAAATTGTATTATTAAAATAACTATATGTATTCATATTATCTTGGTATGTTTTTCTCAAACTCCTTATGTGAAAATGTATAAGAAAATTATGATTTATTCATCTATAACTCTATTTTAATGTAATTTCATAATGGAAAATACACACGAATCAATCATTCTTTATTTATACTGAAAATGATTCTTTATTCATTGATTTTGTATTTTTTTATTTTTTTATTTAAGTGTCAGAAGTTTCGAATCAAAAAAAAAAAAAAAATACAAAGTTTTAAATTCTCGAAACTCGAAATTTTCTTGGATTTCGAGGTTTCGAATAATCCATCCCTAGAATTTATGCTATAAAAACGAAATGATAATAACAATGGATAAAATAGGATTCAATATATTCAAATCGATATAGATCGTTGACGATGATCATTCTTATTATTAAAATATTATTAAATTACTTTTAGTGACCTATGTATATGCAATTTTCATACCACAATATCGTTTAATTGATTTAAATTTTAAAATTGTGCCGTGAATCGTACTCTTCTGTTCCAAACATTTTCGAAATAAAATGAAAGGAAGACGAAGCGAATATCTCCTATAAACGTGAAAATCTTTTGTGGCTCGCACCGAGATTGATTTTACACGCTACGTTGAGCATTTTTTAATCTTCAGAATTAAGCCGCTTAAATCTCCGTCTTTATCACTCGGTGCACGCAGTTGTAAAGTTACATTGTTAAAGGGGAACGCGTCCAATAGAGCGAAGAAAGCCAAGGCTACTACATTAGATTCAGTAAGAGGCTATGAAATGACTTCCTGATGCTCAACTCGCTGTCCGCGCTCCGTATAATTAATGTTATCTTAGCAAACTAGGCGCGATCTCGAGCAATATCTCATTAGTGACATCCAGCGCTCCCTAATTGCATCGCGTCGATTCGTTTCCCTTCATTCCGCATAATTTCTCGTTCAACATCCTTCGAAATAAATAGGCCGTTAACCTTCCACCTAATTTTTCACTCGCGAACATTGAATATCGCTTGGGCGGATAGCATTCACTCGCCGTAACGTATAGTTTTTCTTTATGAAATATTTATTACCTTTTATCCTTTGACACTGTATCCAATTAGTGGCGAATAATTCACCTTTGCATCGCTAATCAAGTAACACAGAACACGGATGTAATTACTCGGAAGTAGAGGTGTGCAATAACTTTCTAATGTTATAACGTAAATTAAATTAAACGCAAACTTACCGTCTTCTCTGCTCTCCTCTATGTCAAGAATAATATTGGATTGACCTGACTCTACTTCGCACAAGCCTGAAACAAATTAAAAAAAAAAAAAGCTTCGTATCAGGTTAATATCATCGATATATCGCGCTTTAATACTTTGTATCAACAACAAAATTATCGCAAGGATTGTGTTTTAAAATTGCTTGAAATTGTACTTTGCACGCAACGGATATAAAAAACTCCTATTGCCTCATTTTACATATGTACATACAAATAGATTTCAACAACTTATCTGGTGTACTAAAGCAATTAATTATTTATTATCAACGCGACAGTTTCCATGTACCAATTTTACCCTTTCAAAAGATATGAATTCGTTATTTTATCGTTTAAGGTAAATAACTCGATTAATATCAATAAATATGTATATACAGTGAAGAGTATAACCGAACCAATAATTACGGAAAATTGTCAATAATTTAAATTGTCATACTTTGTAAAAAAAGAAACACTATACAATAATCAATTTGGTCTCATTTTCAAGAGTTCAAGACTTTTATTTCGAGAATGCTGTGAATATGGGAAAGTGAGAATACTTTCTCTTTCGAGAACTGTAAAAATTTAGATATTTCCAAAAACATTGAAACACTTTTCTGTAAGATCCACTATCATTTTGAAGAATGAAGTATTCCCTTTATGCTCTTAGAATTATATGATTTTTTTTCAATATTTTGTTGAACTTTGAATATTAGAATTAAATTCAAGAAATCCGTCATTTAAGCATAATGTTTAATATTTTAATGAAATACTGAAAAAAAATTGTATAGCAAGTTCTAAGGGCTCGTAAAGGGAAGATTTTATTCTTTAAAACGATGGTAGATCTAATTATGAAAAAACATTTTTTAATGTTCCTACACGCGTTTGAGTTTTTACAATTTTCGAGAGAAATTGTATCTTCACTTTTCCAACCACTACATTGAGAAAATGAATTCGAGATTGCAAAAGTAAAGGTTTTAAGCTTCGAAATAATACTAAATGAATTGTTACGTGTTCTTTTTTTGTGAATTAGAATTTAAATTATGTTTTCATTGTTATGTTCTTTATTGTATGCACGTGCCCATAATTTATTTATAAAAAGAAGCCGTAAAATTATTTCGTTATTGAAATAGGCATCTACATTAGGTATTAAAGAGGTAATTACGGACTAACGCACGTTTCGACATACGTCGATTAAAAGCTAAGTCTAAAGACACTGACCCACATAGGCTTTTTAAATGACTAACGCGTTGATTTTTATAAACTTAGCATCATATATATATAAGAATTTTAATTATTTTTCGAACCGCTCTTTTCAAAAAATGTTAAAAAAATTACAAGTGTTCGGTTAGAGCTTAAAAGTGAGAAATAAATGCATAATTGTGTTTTATGGAGAATTTACGACTTGATTATGCATACATATAGGTATTTTAAGTAAATTATCTTAAATGTTATACGAGTTACTTGTGTCTAAAAAATTTTATATAGCGCTTATGATTAAACAGATGTAATAAACACTAAAAAACACACTAGATCCCATTCTTAGAATGGGTAGCTTTGCTAGTTTTTTATATAATAAAAGAGAGAACAATAAAAAATATTAGAAATAAAGTATATATATATACTTTAAGAAATAAAGTATATATTTTATATATATATATATATATATATATATATATATACTTTAAGAAATAAAGTATATATTTTATATATATATAATGTATAGTGCAGAGGTGACTGGGCATAATGTCACCTCTTTTATATCAATTTTTTGACGTCGACATTTATTTTTTGTTCTTCAACAAGTAAAAGTTGTAAAACAAAAAGGAAACGTAAACTTTTTTGAGGATTATAAAAGTGAGAAGTAGTTTTTAACCATCCTCCCCTCCCCCATTTCAAGTGACGCCACTGATTTAGTGACCCACGAGCTAGTACTAAAAAAAATAATGAACAAAATTTGACCTACTTCTCAAAAAGGGCCGTCATTGGTCGAAATCTTAATATTCATATTGTTGATAATGTACAAAAGATTTTGTTGAAAACATCAGTTTCAGAACGTTTTTGTCGTTAACCATTGCAATGATTGAAATTAAGTGTATGACGTACGTGTATACATTCATATACAAGGACAGCTGATTCTTTATTTTTAATTTTATCCTTAAGTTAAGAATTCCCGATTGAAAATTTCTTGAGAACCTTTTCTTGGAGAGTCGCTGAAGCAGGTGTAAGAAATCTGTCTGACCGGAAACGTGACTCAGCGACTCAAAACGTCTGCTGCCAAGAAAAAGATTACAGGATTACCGCGGTCGTATGGACGACAGCTTACAACAAGCGTCAGCTGTTGAAATGCTTTGCTAGCTCATCGTTATTCTATTTTTGTCGTGGTTTAACGATCAGGCAAATTAATCGAGACGGTGGCAACTGAATCTCGTAGAAATTTTTATCTCGCGATAAATTTACAATGAAAGAACGCGCCACAAGGAAAAATTAACACTTATCACGTTTTCCTCACATTGAAATTTACATCCTATTTAGAGGAAGAGTTTTCTATCTATATTTTTCTAACTATCTAAAATCTATGGTATTACAACCCTTTTTATTCAACACACACACACACACACACACACACACACGCGCGCGCGCGCGCGCGCGCACACACAGCTCCACAAGTTCCATAAGTTCATATTCACAAGTTCAAAATAAAATTTATTATTATTATATATACAATTTTGAACTGGGATTAATGGTTCTGTAATAAATTTGTTTTTATAATTACACTGTTTAAATTTTTTCTTTTTCAAAAAATATTGTATGAGTTCTGAATTTCTAGGAATTTATTCATGCAATAAATAATAATGAATAAACAGGTTATCAAGAGGAGACTATTAAAGAAATAATTACGTTATTAAAGGATGCAAATGGAGATTCAGAAATTAAACAAACTTGGATTATAAAACATACATATAATTAAGGGAATTATATACATATAGGATCAATACATTTAATTCCAGTACCCGCTGTTATCGATCCGAGTGCAAAAATAGTATTAATTACAAAATTGGTAAATTCTTCAAATTTCTGAAAAGGTAAATTGATAAATTCTTTAAATTTTTTTATGTTATCAAACGGTGCAACAGTCATAGTCAGAAATAATAAATTGCTTTTGTAACAATCGTTCGTTATATCATTTCTCTATGATCAATTTTCAAATTAATTCTAAAATTGATTTCAAATATCATTTAAATTAATCACATTCAGATCCAAAGCGGAATTAATACGACTGATCGAATAAAATTATTAAACGAAAATTTAAACTAGATCAAGACATATTTCATTTACTAAATAGCACATTAACGACAACTACTTTTACTACATTTCATAAAATTAAAACAATAGACGAACAAGCGATACATGTTAAATACGATGGAATAGGAATCGAAATTAACAGGTACTTTTCGTTTTTAAAAAAAATTCTGCTCGAACTTGTATATTTTATATAAGAAAATATCTGTTTTTGCGGAATTTGTATAAAAAGAAGTGAAACATTTAGAAATATTTTTGAATATTATCATATTTTCATGGAACAGATATTTTAGAGAATCTATATAATAAAAATTCCATGTTATTTTAGAACATTTAATTAAAAATCCATTTTTATATTCGAGTACTATTAATCGAATAGTATTTAGTATTTAGTGTCAGAATTTGCTACAAATATTGAGAACTGTTTTAATATTGATGAGCAGATTATCTGTTTCTTCGACAGAAAACTTTTTATTTCTATATTTTATAAGTTCTATTCTGTCTGAAATTTTTATTTCTAACATTTATTTATGTGTTCTCACCAGAACTTGTAATATAAGAACACTTCTACGATCCATGTTTTCAAATGGAATCTATTTAAATATTCCTTAACTTTTTCAATCTTTGGATAAATATTACAAGCAAGAAATGAGTAAACAAATAAATTAAATATTATAACAAGGAATCACAATATCTCCGTGATCTAGTCTTTTACAGGTTGTTTCCAAAAATCTTCATGAATAGTGGATACTGATCGACTATTGAAAATTAAACGAAAAAATTAGCAACGAATATCTCCTGCCGGACATCGCAAACATTCTACATTGAATCTATAATTTAAATACAGGGTGTTTCGTAACCTGTGGGATGATAATGAATTTTATAAACAGAGCAAACTCTCTGTCCGGGCTGTCTTTCCATAGACCGCAATAGTTCGTAAGCAAGAATTCGCACTGTTTACAAATAATACTTGATATCTTTCGTTTTTTGTACTTGGTCCCTGAAAATGTGTGGACGTGAAGAGAGTTTTGTATCTACTATACTTTTCACTGATGAAGCTAGTTTTACCAGGCATGATATATTCAATTTTCATAATAATCATAATTGGGATGAAGAAAACCCACATGTTATTGTGTATTCAAGACATCAACATCAGTTTAATTTAAACGTATGGGCAGAAATAATTGATAAGTTTTTAAGTAGACCTTTTTTTCTTGATGGGAAACTAACAGGCACGAAGTACGTTGATTTTTTGAACACGCGTTTACACGAAATATTAGAGGAAGTTCCAGTCGATATTAGACTTCGTATGCGTTTTATGCATGAGCTCCGCCGCATTTTAGCCGAGTGGCTAGGCAATTTTAAATCAACACTTTGCAAATAAATGAGTTGGTCGTGGAGCTCCTTTTGCATGGCCTGCACGTTCTCGGGATTTGAATCCATTAGATTTTCATTTGTGGGGACATTTAAAATCTATTGTATACGCAACATCGATTGAAAATGCTGAAATACTACGAATTAGAATAGAGTAAGGCTTCCGACAAATTCGAGCAACACCAGGAATGATAGAGAGAGTAACCAGATCAATGACAAGACGCGTGCAGGCTTGTCTTCAAATGTAAGGTGGTCATTTCGAGCATCTTTTCTAAAAGTAATTAAAACAGAAAATTCATTATATCTCATAAACGAAGACAGATAGGATAAGTCATATATTTATATGACTTTTCTTCATTATTTTTAGGCGTACA